ATTTTTGTGTGATCAAGACACAATGCAGGCTGAAATGAACTTGCTTTCCTACATGAACATGTCTGGAGCATCTGCACTAACCAGGAGGAAATGGCTTTGACTAATAATGCCTTTTCATTGCACACTAGTCAGGTAAGGATATGAATCACTTGTTAACATTTATTAAATACTAGTAAAGGACTATAATTCACTGCTGCAGGGCTATAATGCAGTAGTAAATAGCTGGTATAATGCAGTATCTCAGCTTTATTATATATCACAGCAGGGATCTGATGAACCTTTCCAGGCCAATCACAGGGTGCAGTGATGTACAGGGGTAGCACGATGCTTTGGGGCAGACCGTGACCTTGACAGCATCTGTTCAGAGAACACGGCTCCACTGCTATGAGCTTCAGTATCTGAAGCACTGAACAACATTTTTAGCACTTTGTGTGTTTGTCCCTCATACTGAGGTGTTAAGTAAATTTTCTCCATCCTGCAGCTCCTAAAGTGTCCACTTGAACCATCCCCCCACTCTCTTCACTTCCTCTCTATTTCCTGTCTGGCCTCGGGCTTTTGCACAGAAAAGGCACGGCACCAAGGCCACAGCCAGTGTGAGCCACGACACTGTACGCTCCTGATCGCACACAAACCACATGCTAAACACCTATGCACAAGTCAGGAAGCAGTTACACCTGCAGGTTATGCCATTTACTATATGAACATATTGAGTAAAGCCAAACAAACTAGTGAAGACCAACATCTAAATGTAAAATAAATATCACTTCACAGACTCGCTGTTTAAATGACTAGAAAGCACCAGCAATGGTTTAATAATGTGCAGAATACAACATGTACAACATCTCAATCCAAGAGAACAAAAGTATGATAGTGTTTTTTTTTTAGTCAACAGGTTAGACCGACAAGCTGGGTTGAGATTAACAGCATGAGTAATTATGCATTTAGACAATGATTAACTTTTACAAGAGGTCAAACGTGTACAAGGAAGGAAAAGAGACGACTACACCTAATACATGGCCACCTCAAAAAAGACACTTTCTGCAAATATAAACGATCACATTTGCCCGTGTCTCCTCATGTTCAGGCAATCTGAAATCAGCCTGAGGTGATGAAGGTTATTCTTTGTGGCAGAACATTTCACTTTCAAGAGCAACTCTAATCAGTCAGAGAGAGAGCAGTCTTGATTGCCTGACCTCCCTCTTTTATCTCTTTTTCCATCTCTCTTCCATCATCATCATCATCATCTCTATACATTCTTGTCAGAGTCCTGCTGATAGAGGGGTTCAGGGGGTCTTTCTCAGCTGATGGCCCTCAGAGAGTACTTTGCCTCCATGAGAGAAGCTCCAGAGGACAGCAGCACTGACCCGGTTTGACAGCTGTGTATGTGTCAGACACTTTTATCCAAAGCAATTAACAGTGCATTCAAGTTATACATTATAACTTCCATGTTTACACCTCCATGAGCTTCAGGAAGGTGTAACTAAAGCCATGGAGATCCTTAGAATGTAAAACATTTAGTATTCTACACTTTCATAACAGGTTTCTTGCAGAAAAACTGATTTAGCAATTAAGTAATTGGCATACCATCAAAACCTAATATGGCACACCTAATTTTATTTACTGGGTGTTTGTGTTCACGTGTATGCAGCCTATATGTTTATCTGAAGTATTTAAAAAGAAAACTGTATTTATGTATTTTTGCTCAGCTTTCTGTATTGAAAGTGGTTTTAGATTGCCTTCAATACAGAGAGACTACAGCTATATTTCCACCATAGACAGAGAGAGAGCAAGAAGACGAAGAATAAATGCTCTCTGCTTCGCCATTATCTAAACGCAGAGCTTTCTCAGTCGCTAATGTCACCCACAGACAAAGAAACTGCTGGAAAATGTATACCAAGAAACCACTGACCTTAAAAGACCTGGAGAAACTTCTTCTGACCCTTCCAGTAACTCACCCAAAAATGAAAATTTGTCATTTACACAGGCTTAGTTAGGACTAAAGCTTTCATGCTTAAAAAAATAATAATTCATGTGACTCTTCTGAAGTCATACGATAACAGAGTGAATTTTTAAGTCGCTATTCACTCATAAATCGTGGTCAAGTAAGTGAGTCAAAATTAACTGATATTGAAAAGATCTGATCAAATAAATAAAAAAAGTTCATGAATCAGACTAACATCGCTACTTCTGTCATGAACTCTCATTAAAGTGCCAAGGACATCTTTGGTGGATGTAGGGATTTTCAGTCAATAATAAAGCTCATGTCACCATTCAGTGTAACTGCATTGAAAAATAAAGACCAGAACAGTCTCCTGAAAATCTCCTTTTGTTGTTCATGGAAGAGAATACAGGTTTGAAACAATATATGAGTGTGAGTAAATGATGACGGATAAATTAATTTCGGGCTGTGCAAGTCCTTAACCGTCCAAAGACACATCCACACCACTCTATATCTTCAAAGCTCTCGCTTTCCATCTCTCTTTTTCTCCTTATCTCCATTGGTCTATAAATTTTTCTCTTTGTCCAGATGCTTCTCTTTCCTTGAAAGCAGCAGGGAGGAGGCCACTCGATCACAATCGATACATGCATCTCTTCTCGCCTCATTCTGGCCATTCCACCGCTCTCAAACGGCATGTGTGTAAAAGAACATGCTTCATCTACTCACACAAACAATCTTTCAACAACACTGCCAAAAACATGAATCAGTATTTTTGTCTTATTTGTCTTAAAGGGACACTTCACCCATTTGCATTAAGAGGTCTATTGTTAGACAACCAGTCATACTATTGAAGGGTCTTGCAACATTCTTTCATTTTCCCCTGAGACGAGAGAAATCCACTATTTATCTTTTTCACTTCCTCCTACAATGACGCAAAAACCGTCATTTGACGTCATTGTAGGAGGAAGTGTAAAAAGGGGGGATTTCTGTATAGACTACAAGCACAAATTCCCACCCTTTCAAACCCGCCCATAGGGGGTTGGACCTAATGCGCTAACAGAGCTTTCAAAGATCAGTGGGTGGGACTTCACTTGTAGATACTGAAATCAATATCAGCCATCTTGTTTATAAGCTAAGCTAACAAGCGCTGTGGAGATAGGAAGTTATGACAATGACGGAAGAAACTAAACAAGATATGGAAGTAGAGGATTTTGAAATTCTGCTGCTCGAATCGGCTGTTCGTTACGAGCCGCAATATAGTGAAGAGCAGCTGAGCCTGATGGAGGAACAGGAGGCGGACGAGGAGCCCGGACTGGCTCGAGCTGGGCGGACTGCTGGTGCCTGTGCTCTCGCGGTGCGCTACGGACACAGATAGAGTCCGTCTGCTGCAGAGAATTTCAACGATGGCAATTTCTCCTGGACGAAATCTCTGAATCAGACGAGCACACGGACGTTTGTGTTGTGATGTGAACCATCCTAGTGTCGCACCGCATATGTTCTGACTGAACATCCGTGCAATAATTCACCATATAGAAAGAAATACAAACGATGCATAATTCGCTAATGAGTTTGCCAATGTAACGGGGTTCGCTGTTGTGGGAAGAAGGAGGCGGGAACCGGCGAACATTTAAACATTTTAATAGTAAAATAAACAAATACAAAACAAAAGTATAAGCCAGCTGGCCACACACAACAGAAACAAAACATAAAATCAGGCCTGTTCCTTTTGTGCTTCCGTTCCTCCGTGAGAGATTCGAGACCGCTGCGTCTCACAGGTGTCATTCATTATCACTCACTCGTGTCGTCCTCTCACGTCCCTCGCCCTCGTCCTGCTCGCCACAGCCAACTAACTAGACATTTTGTGTGAAATGAATTTCAAACTCATTTGGCAGCTAACGTTAGCCTTGTAGACGGAAGAGTGATTTATCTGATGTTTGCGCTGTTCTGGATTAGTGGGAGTGGCTTGCGGAGCTGTGCAACGTGGTGCATTGTGGGAGTTGTTGTCTTACATACAAATGCGCCCTAAAGTTATTTTCTGTCTTTTCTCGGTCAAGAGGGCACCAAATTCAAAATTTCTTTTACATTTCGACTACATATATGACCCACTTTCAATAAAGATTAATCTTGAAATGGGTGAAGTGACCCTTTAAGCATCTGAGCATTCATATATAAATCCATAATAAGCTGATATAAAAAATATCTCAAATATAAAAACTTGTTTTAAAGAAATATATGATGAATTTTCATTTATATTTTAGATTAATATAAACTACCATTAGTACACTTTTATTCTAATTGTATTATGCATTAATTTGATCAAAAGTTTCAGTAAAGACATTTATGATGTTATTTCAAATAAATGCTGTTCTTTTGAACTTTCCATTCATTAAAGAATTCTGAAAGAAATTTTTAAACAAAATTATTAAGCAGCGCAACTGTTTTCAACATCAGCATATTAGAATAAGTTCTGAAGGATCATGTGACACTGAAGACTGGAGTAATGATGCTGAAAATTCAGCTTTGACATCACAAAAATAAATGATGTTTTTAAATATATTCAAATAGAAAACAGTTATTTTAAACTGTAACATTCCGCATTATCACCATGTTTTATGTATTATTAATCAAATACATGAAGCAGGCTTGGTGAGCATTAGAGACTTCTTTAAAAAATATTATCAACTCCATTAAGACAGATATAAATGAAGATTTTTCTTAATTGTATTTTTATTCTTGTAACATGTTTTTTTTAATGGAAAAACCTCACTAAATCTCACAAAATGGTATGTGTTTATGAATTATAAATCTTCCTTTTATTTATGATTTTTCCAAGATATATTATTTGAAATCGATACCTGAATATCATTTAGTGGAAAAAATTGTGTATCCCTCATCAAAATTGTATACTTAGATTTGATTAATGGAAAACAAGAGAAAAATACTGATAAAGAAAATGACTTATGCTGAAGACATGCACATATGCATTTCATTTGAGACTCTAGAGTAATCAGAGGGTTCAAACCCTTTATTAAGATGCAGATGAGCATACGGTGACTCTTACCGTCCTCTTCCTTGTGTGTGTTTTGCGGGCTGTGCATCCTATCTGCGCTGGAAGGATGGTTCAGGTCAGACAGTGCGGTGTGACGTTCAGCTGATATCCATGTGGGGTCACTCATATCAAACTCCTCACTACTCACTGAACACTCATCCTGTGGAGAAAGAGCCAGAGAGATGTCAGTCCGACAGCTGAGACAAGATTGCTCATATCGGCACAACGTCTGTGCATGTGCGCAAAACTAGAATAGATGTGAAAGTCAGATTGGGCCGTGATGTTGGCAGGCAAACAGGCCCATGAGGAGCGTTGTCAGAGAGAGCAGTCACCCCCTATTGAGTGACAGCATCACTCATACACACACACACACAGGCGCAGTGGCCCACCGGGACCACCAAAATTACAACTGGGCCCCAAAGCACAGTGCACACAGCATGGCAACATAGAAGTGTTATAGTGTACTGCTTCAGTATATCTATTCTATCGAAGGCATGAACATGGTGAAAAACATGATTTATTGATGAAATATTCACATTCTGACCTCTCTAAAACCTGATTCAGTCAAGTCATTCAGGTTTTTTGCCTTTGTGCAACCGCTTTGAAAATCAAGCAATGAATGAACATGAATCATTTTATAATTAAAGGAATATGTATCAGAACATATTTGATTCATGTGTGAATAATGGTTTGCACTGCGGTATATAAGGCTTTACATAAATACACAATTTGTCTGCTGAAAAACATGCATTGAAATGTAAATAATGTAATGTAAATAAAATCTGTGAAATATTTTCCAAGGTATGCATAAACTGATATTCTATACGCAGACATATTCACACAATTCCACTATATCATGGACATGACTATGAATTATGAGTTGTAATACGTTTTCTACCATCAATGGAATTCAATGGAACAGATGGCCTAACTCTAGCTTTGTAAATTAATATAATACTATTCAAATGTTTTTTTTTAAAGGAATTAATACTTTTATTCAGCAAGGATGCATGAAATGCATTAAATAACCTAAAGTGACAGCAAAGACTTTTACGTTATTACAAAAACTCTATCAAATAAATCCTTTGCTTTTGAACTTTCTATATCAAGGAACTGTAAACAGCACATCAATATATTAGAATGATTTCTAAAGGATCATGTGAAACTGAAAACTGGAGTTTTGGAAATTCAGCTTTACCATCACAGGAATAAATAACATTTTCAAATACATTTAAATAGAAAACAGTTATTTTAAATTGTAATTACATTTCACAATATTAGTGTTTCTACTATATTTCAAACAAATGCCATAAACCAACAATCTTTAGAATGGTAATGAAAGTCTTTGGAGGGTTTTTTTGTGTTGTTGCTAGATTTAGCACCAGGAAAAGGTCTAAGTATGATCGCTTAAAGTAACAGCACACCTCTCCTAGAAAATAATGCATGATTTGATGTATCATTCATGTTTAAAAAAAAGTGGTTATTCTTAGAGAAATGAATTATGATTATTATTATTATTATAATTATTAAAGCAAGCTCATGTAATTTATACATGTAATTTATTTTTCAAATGCATTTATCCATTTCAGAAAAAGATAAATTTGTTCCATCGACATGAAATGTGTCCTGTTTCGTAACAAGTTTCTTTAAATGAATGACTGTTTTCTTAAATAAGTCGATTTTCTCCATTCAAAATATTAAATTCACAACAGCACTGAGCCAGTGGTACAGATGCCTGTATACATATGTGAATCAAATAAATCATTGCATTCTGTTTTTTGTCCCATTTGATAGCATCATTTTTTCAAAATGAGTGTTTGGATGACACTTCTTAAGTACATTTGTAATGTTAAGGGTCTACGGGGAATTCACAGAAATATTTGTCATAAAAATTTTTCCAGAGAACACGTCAAACGAGGTCAAACTTAAAAAACGTAATGACTGTAATGATGGCTATTTTACTTAATTTGTTCCCTTGACTTATTAAATTGCTCTTCAATTTGAGAAACCTGTTCAGTCGAGGTCTTCCACCTCTGAAGGATAGTCAACATCACATTTTAATCACATAACAACCTACGCATATCCTCAAATGAATGTCTCTAAATTATCTCAAGAGCTCAGGCGGTTCCATTCGTGTGTTGATTATCTACATGAACATCTCAAACTGGCTCAATCGAATGTACACGCTGTGCCAGGTTTGTAAAGCAATGAAATACCTGTGCATAATGTATTGGACAGAAGAGGATGATTTATTAGACAGGCGAAAGTAAAAGCCGCCCCAGGGACAGCAGGGTGAGGACCCATCTGCTCATGCCTGTTGTTGAAGGGGAACCCTGCCACCCCGCCACGGCACGACCTCTGTTTAAACAGACGGATTTCCCCCCAGAGCTGCCAATCACACAATACCTTGCACCACCAGCCCAGCGCCAGCTCTGATTGGTTAAGGTGTTTACATGCAAATTTGACAGTGAATTATTAATGGGAGAAAGTCTTCCACCCTCTCCTTTCTGGTGCTTCCTTAAAGGAGGTTTTGCTGTTAAAATACTTTATTCTATGCAGTTTAATGTAAAAAGGTGACTACAAGCAAGACACTTCTATATTGTCTTATAAATGCCATAGTGGCTCAATGGTGCCTTCAGAATATTTAAACAAATTGCACGTTTGAGTAACTTGGTGCAAGCAGTGGCATGAGTTTGGGATGGGACTATCTGTCTGGGATAGTAGTGATTGGATAACCTGTTTGGCCACAATAAATTCTGCTGCAACTATAGTAGCACAGAAACTACATACTTTACCTTTAAATCAACCAGGAATGTGTTTTAGGAAAGTCAACATGTTCAATTTTGATCTCACTGCAGGGGGCAACAATAAAGATGTTCTCTTTCTGCTAGTTCTGATTTTTAACTTGCCCTGCCAATGTTTTCACCAGCCCTCAAGCACAAAAGTGTGACCAATTTATGAAGGAGTAATGAGGCTGGAATGAAAATTCAGCTTTGCATCACAGGAAAAAAATTACATTTATAAATATATTAAAAAGAAAACATCTTAAACTAATAGTATTACAGAATATGTCTGTTTTTACTATATTTTTTAGCAAATAAACGTAGCCTTGATAAGCATGAGAGACTTCTTTCTGAAAACATTTTAAAAATATTACATTTGAATGTATTATTTGAATGGTAGTATACATACACAATTGTAGGAATGCATATTAAAGCTCTGTTAAAAAAATCTGAACTTAAGTGAATTTTCTTTCTTCCCACAAAACCAAAATGTAGCCATGCACTTTTTTTGTGGCTTCTTTCACAAAAAGAAAATTTGCAACAAACTAGAAATTATACAGCTATAAATGTTACTTAATAAATTCATAAATCACTCTTTTGGAAACCGATAACATGAGATGCAAAACTTGATTACTTTGTCGCATTTACACATTTTTAATCATGCTCAATTTTGTTAGTAATGTAATGTTAGTAAGATAACAGTATCTTGGTGACAAATTAACAGAATTTGAAGTGAAGCCATAAAAATGGATGTGCTAGATCAACAAACGATTTTCAGTGGCAGCGCAGCACTGGCCTGAAAGGAAAAGTGATTGATCTTCGTCAGGTGATTGTCAGAGTTGTCGACCAGCCTGAAACCCTCACACTGACCCAGGCCCAACAGGCCATCCTTATTGTTGAGGCCTGCACTGACTTAAATAATCAACGTTTGAATAATACATCAAATCAAACAAATACCGGATACATGTGCATGTGTATAAATGTGCCCCTAGAGATCAAGAATGATGCCCAGGGGTCAGCAGAAGTCAGCAGGGTCAGCTGATAGGAACCGAAAGCAGAGGGAGGGCTCAGAGAAACCCTTTTAAGGTCACAAGGAAACATGCTGGCTCAAACCATCAGGAAGACAACAAAGAGGATCGCACTTAAAGCGGCCACTCACCCGTCCCACCCCCCAAACCCTGCGTAATGTATTCTGCCGCATTTTCATTCCCTTGCTGAAGTCCCGGAATGGACAATCCAGCACCTCCTTAATCATCTTCCAATAGGACATCAAACAGGAGCCTCTTTTAATCTGACATTTAACTCCTTTTCAATTATAATCTTGTAAAATCGCGTTTAACCGCTTCAAGCCCGTGATCAGCGCCGCACGGCTAATCCAATTTAGGACAATGCAGGTCATCAGCGGCCGAATCTCTCCAACTCCATCTCCCCACACCCCTACGGCTCAATTCTGATGGTCTTTTATTAGTTTTTATTGTTTATTAATGATCATGCTTACAGCCTCCTCATCTGCATGCATGTGACATTCCGCTCTCTCCCTCTCTCTCTGACAAATTGCCGTCTATGCAGATAAAGAGAGCAGGGACAGCCTGGCATTTTCTCCCTTCACGAAACATCCTGGCTCCTCCGTGTCTTTAATGAGAATAACTGATAGAAACGAGTCCAATCACCCGGGTTTGGGTGGCTCTGTGTGCTGAGCATACTGTGTTTCAGGGTTTCTTTTGTCTGAAAGCTGCGTGTGCGTACACAAAACACAAAGAGCAGACGTCCTTGGGAGATGGTCTCTTCTCAGCCAGGGCTGGGCGGTACCTTTGTCCCGTCTAGCTTTTTCATTTAGTTGATTAACTTTGCTTTCATAATGATACGCTTTTGGGTGGGTGAGAATGAAAGGAGCCTTTTATCGCTTTAACTGATTTACGTTCACGCAGCTTGAACCTCCGAGCCAGGAGCGTGGACATTTGTAGAGTGACTTTATTAGCAGGTTTAGCCTGTTACCTGCCCCGCTGTATACTGAGCTGTAAATTGTCTAAATTAAGACGTGAAGGGGGTAAAGTCTTTAAAAAATCATTAACTTTAGGAGCGAGTCTATTTTTAATAGCATGCCGAGGGGAGTCAGACTACCTGCTCTTCTGCCTTCAGGTCTGAAGTTCAAAAAAAGGTCTTGGGGAAAAACAAAAAACAGATAGCATATTAATATACAGGTTCATCACGTAAATACACATGCGCACACGCCTAATGTACCTTCAATGATTGATGCCTGCCTTCAGAGGCACGCCGTGCTGTTTTGTCAAGCACAGAGGCACTAAAATATGAATATAAATGAATGTCTTTCTCTGAGACAGCTTAAAGCATGTATGAGAACGCTGGGGCAACATTT